TCAATCATTGTCGTTTTATATTGTTGAACATGCAGGGCGACGAAAAGAACTGTGGAAAACGACGCACGTACGTTCGCAAAGGCAGAGTGAGAAAAATATTATTTGTCGTGGCTTGCAAGCCTTATCGACTTTGCCGTTATTGCCCAAAAAAGAGAGAAGAAGAATTATACCCATGACATTTCCATCTATGAAGCCAGCTGCCCTAAGGATGTTTAAAGATGTTGGAATAAGCCTCAGAGAAGGGAAAAAATTGCATTGCGAAGGTTGCAGTTTATCTATTGTGGATGACAACTCTGATAGCGAAACAGATAGACAACCAAAAACATGAACTCGGGTCTACGTCGTACATCACATAACGAAAAGTTCGTTTTTGTATGAAGTCTTAGTCGTTCCATTGTTGTTTATATGTGTGTTTGTATGTAGTTCATTACCCTTCGTTCCAGATTCCTTTAGCAACAAAACGCCTCACCGTAGAAGAAAATGAGTATCTTTACATGATTACAAGCAGCAGCGAAGACAATGAAGCATATGGCATTGTCGAGTACAAGGGGAGTAAGAAGGTGGGAAAGAAACACATCATGGTCGTCGTCGAGGATGGGAAATGGCTAAATGACGAAGTCGTCAATTTGTACCTGCTAGCCATCCAGATCACCAATGATCACATCAAGGTTAATTCGGCATGTACAAAAGAGACAAGAGATAGTGTTCCTTTTGTGTACATTTTCAATTTCTTTTTCTTCACTCGATTGTCAAGTTCTTCGAGGTTTGAAACCGCATATTCCGAAGGGATGAAATGGGTGAAGGACACAAATCTTTTTGATTATGACTTAGTGATTATCCCTCTTCATTTTGGAAATTACAAGGCGTTAGCTTATGTCAGCTTAGACGGTCCGAACTGTAAATTTCACCTCATAGACTCTCTCCCTCGTGTTGACTCTGTTTCAGTCCTTGAACATTTGGAAGATTTTTTCGAAGCGGAGTTTCATCGACACAATCTTCGCGAAAGATATCATGTGGACGGACCTACATCCTCCTTTGATACATCAGTAGATGAAATTCCTGCTCAAGAGGATCCTTGTAGTTGTGGTGTTTTTATGTTAGGTTTTGCATCTTTGCTTGCAAGAGGTCACTTCCCTCCATTTGCTTTCTCACAAACCAATATTTCTGATATGAGGCTTAGAATAACATTTGACATTTTGTCCATGGTTAGATAGGAAAGTCAATGAGGTGTGACTACAGTCTGTAGTTAATATTTTGTTGATGAGATTGACATGTTTACTGAGTGTAAGCATTCGAGGTAAAAACTTGACATTGTATTATATTTTGAGCACAAGCAACACAGGAGCATGACTGTCACATTAATTTTCCCTCATTGTTTTGTCATTCCTTCAACTTTGCATTGCTAAGCTTTGATATGTGAACATTGTTTCGTCCTTATTTTGCTTTGTCGTTATTTCGATTTGTTGTTATTTTGCTTTGTCGTTATTTTGCTTTGTCGTTATTTCGTCTATAATTTCCTCATTTCGTTCTGCCATTTTACAGTTAAAAAAAAAGTGAAAATGAAAACAATTTCACTTATAACAAAAACACCGTTCTCTTTTTTCGCAGCTATAAATCCTGCAAGCGGTCCTGAAAATATCTCCCTCAACTCATCAGCCAGCTTCCAGGAAGCAGTGGTTAGGTGATACATGTGAAGGTGCGGGTCGAAAAGTCCTGACGAGATGACTGTAGTCTTTACGGTTATGCGCTAGATCGCTAGATGAACTGTGGGATCCAGGCAAGACCGAGCAGAGACTAAGTCGGCGGGGTGACAATCGTCATTGTGGGAGTAACACGTGATGACCGGGATCGTCAGTGCCGATGTGAGGTTCGAGCAGAAGGTTGAGTGGATTAATGGTCTGGGGCCATGGGTAAATTTTATGGTGGATGCGCCTCTTTTGTCTCAGAGTATAAGTCGTCGAGCGTGAGCTCCGTTCGCCAGGCATTTGAGCCGGAATTTTTCGACAAGGGCATTAAACTTTTTCGTGTGTAATTACCTTCTGCCTTCTTTTCTCTTATGATCAATGTCTCGCCTCCCTCGCCCCTCCTTGCTATTATATTTCTGCTACAATAGATGGGTTGTGATGATATCTCTCCTCCTGCTTTGACACGTGCATGCCGTGGGTTGCACCTGAAGACTTGTCTGAGCATGTTGATAGATCTGATGAAATGTGGGATTGGATTGATCGAATGAAAGATGCATGATTAGGGAAAATCCGGTGCTTTGCCCTTTTGCCATGTGGACTGATCGCCCCAATCCGACGGGGCGCCGACTTCCCGTATCTCCGCCACGCCCATTCCAGTACAACGAGGAAATGATACGTGTATGCGAGTGGGACGTATGAGAAGCCGTCGCCAAGATCGGTGGGCGTTATTACTTTCCACCTGAGACCTGGTGCTCCGGATTCGTTGGTGCGGGTTTCGTAATTATCGATACTCATTTTCCGCCTTATTCATTGTTGTTGCTGTTTAATGAGTTGGTTGTCACCTCGTGGGTGGCAGTGGCACCTCATTGGCCTAACACTATGTGTAACGACTGTCGTCGTACCGAGCGTTATCAAGCCAAAGGCTTCCATTACCGCGCATGAATCGAGGACGAACATAGGGAGAGAGCCACTCGATTGAGGCCCTCCGTGTCGAATTCAGAGTTTTGCAGTGAGCGCCGACGAGATCTCATCCGAAAACGGGATACCACGTGTGTGCCCTCCCCCTTTCATTCGAAACGAAGGGCAACGGCTCGCTGGGAAGTAAAGCGATACTTTTTGGATTGAATTCCTCATCGCCGTGAGACCCCGCGCGGGCCCTTTTCCTTAGATCTCGCCGCGACGGACCTTTCTCTTACTAAAGTCGGACCAACACGTGGGATTTCAGTTCCGTCTGTGTCCCCACACTCAATTTCCCCGAAAATCCTTGGCACACCCCATCTTTGTTGTTCTTCCCGGGCCTTTCCGCGAACCCAAAATACCCCGACCGGAAAGCAGGACAGGGCGTGAGGTTGAGCGTCACAGACCACCCTCCACAAACTGTCGTGCACAGGCGCGGAGACCAAAAACGCTGACCACAACTTATGTCTACGGTGTGACGAACAGTCTGACATATTTTTCATTTGCTAAGTTTGGCGAGTAAGGCAACCAGGCGCCTACTCGCCAAATTTGGCGTATGGAGAGTAGTGCAACCAGGCCCTAGAGCTAGGGCCTCGCTGCACTATTCTAGACTCTCGAAATATTTCGAGAGTTCGGCTAGCATTGTCAGAGAGGCGATACTCTCGAAATACCCGCCTTGGCTGCACTTACTCTAGAACCTGTGACACTAGATGAACTCTCGAAACCCTGGGCGTCGTCCGACTCGACAGAAGAGCTGCACCACTGCGCTACGGGACAAAGTCTGGCCGCCGGGACAGGAGGTCCACTCTCAAAAAATGAGCCCGTCGGCGGGCAACTCCCGAAGACACTTGCAAATTCGGTTTTTGCAGGCGGGAGACTCTCAACGTTTCGAGAGTGGCGTTGTAGTGTGGCTTCTGACAGCTCTCGATCGGGTTTTGAGAGTTTCCCGATCGAGAGTAAGTGCAGCGAAGAACCACTCTCAAAACTTCAAGAGTCTAGAGTAGTGCAGCGATACCCCTAGTGCGCTATGCCTAGATTTTAGGACTTTTCGTGACTCGGACAGCTCTAGAATGACTCTAGAAATTTATCACGATTCTAGAGTGGTGCAGCGAGCCCCTATGTGGGTTGCGTTTTGGCGGTTCCTGTCACGAATATAGCACACGCGGTGCCTTAGAGGATATCAGTGGGGGCTGGCGCTCCGTCTTCTCCTTCTACCTACCCGGCCACCCAGTGCAAGATCCAACTTGTCTAGACAAATTCTCTTCGTTCTGGATCCACGGCCAAAAACAGAAACAGAAACTGAATCCAGTAAAAGGGGGACCTGCTTTGGTTCTCTGTCGGACTGGCGGACCCACGCCCATCTTCACTCTGGCGGAATCTGATGAGTCTGATGGTAGATCTGCATCTAATCCGGGGCGCTAAGAGATCAGGGCACCGTGTATAGACTAGAGTTCAATTGACCACCACTTGGGGCTGGCACGTGTAGGAGTGCGGAGCTGGGATGGGATCGACCTTGCCGGCCGAAGGTTGATTTGATGGCGTGCAGTCGAGAGGAATTGATGCCGACCGATTATCATATCACGACGAGTGGGGGAGAGGCGGGGGCAGAGTCGCGAAGCGTGGCCCGCCATCAGATCACGGAAGTACTGGGCCGCGGAAAGTGCCGGCCGAGTGGTAGTCATGGCCACACGCCGACGGATGGAGATTCCAGGGCCCAAGTCCCAGTTCACCCGATTCTTCTCCCAGTCGATCGACGGTAAGACTTGGCCCCAGCTAGCTTGGGCCCGGAGCCAAGTCCCACAAGCAGCTCGATCGAGCGTTGGCTTTCGAGAAGTTACCTCCACCATCAGATGTTCAACATCTGACGGCCGCGAACGACCGACGCTCGAGAACTACTCTTTTTTACTGTTTTGGTTTTCTTCTTTTTGAGAGAGAACTACTCCATCCAGCCGCTGCAATGCAGTGCAGGGGCGAGGTCCCACCGGTGCGGAGGATTGGATCGAGCGCCTGAATTCTGGACGGGTTTGCGGAAAGTTACAGAAAATCGAGAATTGAACTGCTTTTCTGCATCTGTGCTAAGAATACGACCAGCTTCAGGAGCTTAATCCAATCCTCTTTGCCGGTGGGACCTCGCACCAGGAGTTCTCGAGATGTTCGAAAATAAAGAAGACGGCTTCAAATTTCCTTCCTTCCTTTTTTTTTTTTTTTTTTTTTTTTTTTTTNTTTTTTTTTTTTTTTTTTTTTTTTTTTTTTTTTTTTTGTATTGCAGTTCATGTGTTTTTTTCCGTTTTCGTTTCGGCAGCGCCTCGCCAAGCTGTGCTGCGTACGGTTTTGTGCGTGGATGAGGCACCATACCGATCGAGGTCATGGCACGCCACCACCGCTAGGTAGGCGGCTGGTTATGTCTGTCTGTCTGTCTGTCTGTTTCTCTGGCCAGGCGATGAAGACGGCTGTTTGCTTGGCGGTCCGATTAACGATGACGCCCGTAGGTAGGAGATGCGCCTGTCCCGCTGTCCCGTGCCCTGCTTGCTCTGTAGAGCTATGGTTATGGCGAGCCCGGTAGCCGAGGAGGAAGACGATGGCATTCTAGCTAAGTTGTTGTTGGTTCGTACAGTTCGTCCCAGGCAGGTAGAGGAGCAAATCGATCAGGCGGGGTGCAAAAAGGCGGCGAGCAAGAGAGGAGGGGTTGGAAAGGTTGTGGGGCGGGAAGATTTTGAGAGAGCGAGGTGGGCCAGCAGTGCCTCCAGGGGGAACAGCAGGAGGAGGGTGAGGCGGCGGCGGCGGAGGCGGAGGGGAGAGGAAGTGGGTTGCTGAAGTATGGTGGCCTGAAAGTAGGAGGTGTTGGAGAAGGAGGTCGGCTGGCGGTGCGAAAGACTGGCTGTTTTCTGGGTATAAGTGAAGAGACGCCAGCGCATATGTCGATGACGACGGCGATGTTGGCAAGGAGGGAGCGCGAGTCGGAGGGGTTGATGAGTAGGGAGGAAAGGGAGGAAGAGGAGAAAGTCCTGCAGCAGATTGCGTTGCTACTGCCTGCAAGTTTTCGGCTCCGTGAGGAGGAGGAGGAGGAGGTGGGCAGTGGTAGGAGAGCAGCCGTCCAACAGCCTCAGAGATGGGAAAGTCGGGATAGCGAGAACGGATGGAGAGAGGTGGAAAGACGCCCGCAGCGGGGCGGAGAAGAACGCAAGACATACCGTCTAGAGCACTGGCAACTGAGAGAAGTCAGCGCTGCTGAACATAATGGGACGACAGCGGTGGAATCGCAGCGGGATGAAGACGAAAAGGAGTTTGGGGGGGGGGGTAAACAAGTCGCCGAAGGGGGGCAGAATCCCGGAGGCACAGCTGGTTCTGCTGCTGCTGATAAAACCCAGGGATGGCAGTCAACCACACGAAAGGCAAACCCAGCAAACGCCGCCGATTATCTTGTTGGTCCTCCTCATCGTGCGCCGGGGGGACAGGGACAGGGAGCTCGGTTGCTGCGGCCATCCTCCAGCTGTCCCTCCCCTTCAGGCGCCGCCTCGTCCCAGTCGTCAATGGTCGAAGTTTCGTCATCAAACGGCTCGTCCGCAGTAGTTTCCGCCGCGTCCGGCCCTCCTGCTTCTTCTACAGGCTCTTCTTGCTCGTTCTCTTCCTCTTCCTCCTCTTCCGGCTCGTCTTCATCATCCATGGTGTCGTCTACCACCTGTCCCTCCTCTTCGTCTTCGCATATGGCGCCGATGGTGTCCTCGTCGGTAGTGGAATCGGCGTCCTCGAGTCCTTCCTTGAAATCCACCACACCGGTGCGGAGAGGTCCTTTCATGGTAGGTCGGCTCCTGTCGCGGCTAATCCAGCCACGTGGCTCCCGCTCGTTGTCGAAACAACGGATCTCGTCGAATCCGCCGCCGCGCCGTCCAGCGAAGCAAGCCGAAGGGAAGCTGGGAGTGGAGCGGGGTAATAATGCTGTCGAGGGTGTTGGTGGGTTTGGAGGGGTTGGCGGGAAGGAGAATTTGATGAGCTCGGAAGTTGCCGATGGCGGCGGGATGGTAGATGCCGATGCGTCATGTCGTGCCGCCGGGGACCCGGGTCTGAACCCGGACAAGGAAAGGAAAGGTTTGACCGTCACCGGTGCGAACGGTGGCGTAGCTGTCAGAGACGATCTCGCTGCCGTTGGAGCCGCAGCGGATCTTCGTTTCACTAGTACTACCGATGATGATCGGCATGGTAAGAATGACAGTAGGAGGCCGTTGGCGGCAACAAGTATTAGAGCAAGTGGCACGTCAGAGTCAGCGTGGCATGAAGCGGCAGTTCCTCGTGAACTGTCTCGCGACAGCCGCCACGGTGATGGGGAGTTCGAACACGAGTGGGAAAGTTGTGCTGCACATTGGAGCGCATCTGACAAGGACGCTGATGACCGCAGGAGCTCGCCACAGTGGATTCGTCGACGTGCTACCGAAGATGCTGCCCGGGGAGGAGGCGGCGAATGGGAAAGAGGAGGAGGTGCAGGCGGTGGGGGTGGTGGTGGTCATGAGCTCAGGGAGAAGCAGCTTGAACGCATCTCGTCAACGTCCTCCTTCTCTCAACCACTGCGCCCGAGGTCTGACCCTCGTATCGCTCCCTCGTTGGTCTCGGATGATGGGGATCGGGACACGGAATCATTAGTGTCTGAGTTAGCAATGGACTTGGACGATGACGGGGCGCTTTCCCGACGCGGCCACGTGCCTTCTGTGACGCCGTTTTCCCCTGACGTGCTCAGTCCTAGTGGTGCTGTTGCCACGTTGTCGTCGCCGTCGCCGCCGACGACTCAGCATGCTGCTGCGAGAATGGGAAAGCAGTGCTCGCTGTCCTCTTCTCCCTATTCCGCTCTGTCCTTGGATGAGAATGCCCAGCAGCTCCCTGGAGCTTCTTTGGGGGTCGCTACTCCCAGCGATGGCGTGGAAGTAACAGGCGGCGGCGGCGGCGGCGCGATTTCCTCCCCCTCTCATTCCGTCTCTTCGGCTGTCCCTTCGATCGTCGTGTCCGACATCGACTCCCTAGCCACGCAGACCTCGGTGCCCGCGCGTGCTCCTCGCAGCAACTCCAACTCATCATCGAGAGTCGGAAAAGGGGTAACAGAGGCAAGCAACGACTCGACCGTGCAGGCTTCGTCCCGGTCTTCAAACGATGATGGATCTTCAAATCTTGCAGTAGTGAAGGGGAACATGACAACCACCACGACAGTACGCGCACCATCGGGTGCAGCTAAGGCGGCGGCGGCAATCTCCGGTCCGAGCAGTTATGTCATCTCCAGCCCGCGCGAGATGATGAAGACCGACCATGAACTGAACGAGGCAGTGATGAACGGTCATGATGATCTTACTGACGGCCAGGCTGCGGCGCGATCGACGAGGACGAATAGCCGGCACGCCGAAGCGCCGGATGGCGTCGGCAAGGCAACGCCGACGCATTTTATGTCTATGTCGCTGTCTCCTGCGGGGGCTTTTGCTGACACACATGCGCGGGCGGGTCGTGGTGCTGGTGGGAGTTCACAGGCCGCTGGACGCTTGGCATCCGATGATCGCCGGTCGGCGACATCATCGCCCTCGGGGGCGACGATGGTCTCAGACTTGGTGACTACCATCGATGCCCAATGGTGGGGGGATTCGGAGACGAGGGCGTCCGTGCGGTCGTCAGAGACGGGGACCGAGAGGGGCCGCGAAGGCAGTCGAGATGGTGTTGGGGAAGCTGGACCGACCGGTAGTCCGCTCGAAGCCAATGGAAATGGCAGACCTTTGTCGTATTCCCAGGCGTCATCCGGAATGGCGGGAAGAAGTCGAACGCCGGAGTTGGTAGCTATCGGGACTGCCACAGGAGGCAGCAAGCGTGCAGAGGACTGTGGTCGGTGGAAACAGGGACGGAGAGAAAGCGGGAAGCGTCCGATCCCCACGGCGGCGAAGGGTAGCTTCGACGGGCTTGGAGTGGGAGGACGGGAGAAGCAGCAGCGGCAGCAGCAGCAGCAGGAGGAGGAGTTTGGGGAGGAGTTGGATGTGCAATCGAGAGGAGGAGGTTCGCGATCGAGTGGCATATTAGCAGTGGCATCAAGGCGTGGAGGCCTTGAGAGCAGCGAGTTGTTGGCCTCTTCGTCGCTGTTGATGTCGCCAACTCAATCCTCAGCTGTGTCCTTATTGACGCCTTTGGTGACGCGTAGGCTAGGAGGCAGTTCTGCCTCCAACGGAGTCGATGACGAGTTCACTGGGATTAACATCGTGTCGTCGAATGTGGTGGGCTCTATGAGGAACGAAGAAGAGGAGGAAGGTGAAGAAGAGGAAGACGAGGGAGCAGAACACGAGATGGATCGAGGGAGAGAGAAGATGGCAGCGAGTGTCGAGAGCGGAGGCTGCGAAGAGGTGCCTTTCTTACTCCTTCGGGGTTGGCGCAGTCGCCCAGGAAGGTCGAGGTCTCTTGGCTGGAATGAGAGGACTAAGCGCGCGGAAAGTTCTGTCTTTGTTGGCCACAGCATTTCGCGTAAGGAAGAGGAGCCCACAGGGAGGAAGCCGGAAGAAGGAGAGGTGGTGAGGGTCAGAAGTAGCAGGAGCCGTCACTTGCACTCCGCGGGTGCAAGTCGTGGCAGAAGGTCATCGTCTCTAGGAGGAGACGATAGGCGGACGTCGGCGCCGTCCCATCTGCTGACAATGACAGGGGTTGTCCCGCGGAGTGCGGTCTTCTTGGTCCCGCAGGAGGACCTAGCAGACAGCATCCCCGCTTCTGGTGGTTTCGTGGAGTCAGACTTGAAGAAGCTGCGGAGGCGCAGTGCAAGCGACATTCAATGCGACTTCTTGGGAGGAGAGGAACGGCTTTCGTCGTCATTACCGTCAATGACATCGAGGCCGTTGATTACCGAAGTCGATCGCCAGGAAACGAAGTCAGAACATCCAAGTATGCTTGGTTTCTGGGCGAAACCGCGATGGATGTCGGAGAGAGGTGCAGCACACGAAGGAAGGGGAAAACAGGTGGGAAGGTCGGGTCACAAGAGCAGCGACAAGGAGTCGATCAACGGACCCCCCAAACTAGATACTGATTTAGTAGATGGACCCACTATTATTAGCACTACTGGGGCCGAATTTGGTGGTGGTGGTGGTAGTAGAAAACACGCCGCCGAGGAGGGCAAAAGGCAGGAGGGAGGAAAGACGGTATCTTCGACCTTCTCGGACTCCTCTCGGCCCCGCTTGACGGAGATCAAGCTGACTAATAAGGTGCTCGATGCGTCGTCGTTGATTACCCCTGTAGCGACAAGGAAGTTAAATAAGGGGGGTGATGCGGCGGCGCCGGCCGTTGGATCAGAAGAACCTGATCGTGAGGGAGGGGGATCGTCGGCAATGATCAGGAGCGTGGGGACGGAGAAGTCGGGCACTGCGTCGCCTTCCAAAAGCACGGAGATTATCGATTGCGGCGGCCACGTGTTTGGTGGTAGAAAGCGGCCATCCTCCGGCGATTCGGGCCATGATGTGCAGGGATTACCGTCTTGGTCGAAACGTCAGGATCGCAATACCGGGGATGATGATAACCATAGTTTGCGGGAAATGGAGAAGCAGGCAGGAAAGGAGGAGGAGGAGGAGGAGGAGGAGGAGGAGGAGGAAGAGGAAGAGGCTGCGGGTAAAGGCAATTGGAGACGCAAGCAGAATGGGAGGTTAGTTATTACGGAAGTGAAAGGTAAAGAGGAGACAAAGAAGGGTCGCGGTGAAAAAATGAGCCAACAGCAACCACAATGGAGGAGGAACGGATTGACTCCATCGTTTTATGTAGGAGGAGGAATCGATGGATCCATGGTCAGGAAGAGGGAGGTTGAGATGGCGGCGCCCAGCGAGGAACAACAACAAGAACAACATCAGCATCAGCATCAGCAACAGCAACAAACAAAGCTCAAGGGGCGAGGAAGGACTGGATTGCTCTACGGTGGAGGACTAAAGGAGGGGCTGATGCAGGGTGGTGGCGGCGCCTTGCAAAATGTTGGGTCTTCTGTTGGGTGCCGGGAAAAGGTACAGTTTTCGGCCCCAGGTCCCGGTGGCCCTACTAATGCAGCTGTCATCCGGCGGTCGTGGGATGAATCCCAAGTTGCGGGTGGCCCTACGATAACTCCGCCGCAAGGGGAGGGAAGAGGGCAGCGGGGACAGGTAACTGCAGCAGGTGTCGACGCGTCGTTCTACGATCCACCTGAGTCGACGATTCCCAAGTCGGGCGAGTTGGAAGCGGTGGCTGACACACGAGCTGGCAAGTCATCCTCGACTGCACTAGGCAACTCACTGGTTCGGCTTAGTGCCACGGGCGCAGGGGTGAGCTCAGCAGCAGGAGGAGTATCTTCCGCTGAAGATCACGTGGAGGCTCATGATGGAGTTGAGGATGGTTGTACGACTCTCCGGAAGCCATTCGATAGCGAGGGGATGTCGTCATCATCAGGCAGATTAGGAGGAGGAGTAAATGCGGGAAGGGGGACCCCGCAGGTGCTTTCCGCGTCAGGCCCAGCCGAATTGGTATCTCAGAATGCCGTTCCAGGCGGGGGAAAGGCGAGGGAGGGAGAAGATGATGGAACGTCTGTTCGCGGCAATGCAAGGATGGTGTCAATTCAAGGATCCGTCGGTCGCGCTGATGAAGAGGAGCTGGCATCAAAGCTGCTGGCCGCTGTGGAGAGACTCGTTGGAGGAAGTGATGAAGAAGAGCGGGAGCGCACAGAGTCCGATGGCGGTATGAAAGGTAGGAATTTCTCAGGGGCGTCCGCGAGTGCGAGCGCGAGCGCGTCTCCCTCTCCCAGTCGATCGTTTCTTATGAAATCGGGAGCTTTATATGAGATCAAAGAGGTGGAAGGGGAAGGCGCGGATGAGGACTCCGCCGTGCTGAAAGATGGAAGTAGAGAAGGTAGGCGCTTGCAATCAAGGACGGCAAGAAGAGAGCGACGGAAGAGGTCGGGTCGGGCTCCTCCTCCTCCTCCTCCTCCTCCTCTTGCTGGCAATACTGGAGCGCAACTCTTAGATCGTGAAGTCGAGAGCTTGGGAATGGCTGGGGTTGATGTAGGTGGAGGGCCCGGAATTGCGACGAACTGGGGCGACGGGATTGGCTCAAAAGCACTGGTAAATGATTGCAACGGGGAAGAGGAGAGCGTGATCATAGAGAGGCAGTGGGAAGGAGGAGGAGGAGGAGGAGGAGGAGGAGGAGGTTCTGTAGAAGCGGGGAATAAAGCAGCGGCTTTTGACGATGGCGAAGAGCACCCGTTTGACGGCAATCGGGGAGGGGAAGATCCATGGATAGACGGTGAAGAAGTCATTGAGAAGACGAAGGACATCGGGGTATTTGAAGATCTCTCTCACGATGACTGGGTGTCGGAGAAGACCACGGAATTGCGGGAGCGGGCGGACAAAACGACAGAGCTCCGTCCTGGAAGTGGGGCATTGTCGTCGAGGCATGGAAACAGGCAGAAGATCGACCGAAGTCTGGTTCCAGATGAGTTGCCGCCTATTCCCCCTGGCAAGCGGCGCAGTCGCAGGTCCGCGCACTCTCGAAATAAAGCGGCATCTAGATCCAGCGGGTTCAACAACCTTGAGGGGCAGTACGTACCGTCCACGGACTCGTCACTAAGTCCGTCGGGCGGTTTGCCACCGGAGAGGAAGGCAAAGAAGAAGAGCAGCGGGCGGGGAACAGGGAGAGCCAAGGCGTCTGATGCGTCGTCGAGGAGTGCGAGCAGGAGAAAGGCTGCGGCAGTGACGACGCCGAGGCCGGCAGCTGTAGACGGTGAGCAGCAGGAGCAGCAGGAGCAGCAGGAGCAGCAGCAGCAGCAGGAGCAGAGAGGGGTGTCTACGGGCGAGGGTGCAGATGCACGGCGGTATTTGCGAGCTCAGAAGCAGCAGAGGTTGTTGAAGAACAACAAGTCGGTGTTCTCGAAGCTGAGCAAGGCGCTTGCTTGGCTAGGAAAGTGGAGCAAGGCGGGAGAGGGGGAGGGGGAGGTTTTAGGATTGAAAAGAGAGACGGTCACTGGGGAAGTGACAGAACAAGGGGGGTTGGAGGAGGATGGAAGTAACGGGTTGGGGGCGGAGATGGCGGGGGAAGGAGGCGGAGAGGGAGTGGGCAACGCGCAGGCGAACGAGAGTGTGGGGAAACGCGGAAAGAAATCGGGGCGGATCGACGACAGCTTTATCAGTGTCAGCGGCAGCATAGGCCATAGTGGACTGATCGCCAACAGCGGGTTCGTGGCAGAGAGCGGGCTGGTGATCGGGCATTTGCAGAGCTCATCGGTTGTGGAGCCGTCGCCTGTGGTCAGACTGAAGAGAACGGCAAGTTATCAACAGAGTCCGACGCGCAGCACTCCGGTGAGACTAAAGAGTCCCGCTGTGGTGGCGCCATCGTCGAAGTCGATGGGTAGTCCCCAGGGGAGCTCGCTTCCGGGAACACCAGGAAGGACGCGGAGCGAGAGGAGAGGAGGAGGCTCTTCCCGGTCAGGCTTCCACGGGGCTCTGGGCGGAGGTAGCCCCGATGAAGGCTCTGTGAATTCCGTGAATCATCGCCGATTGAGTGGGAGAGGAGGGTTCTCGATGACCGATGCATCCGAGGTAGTGGATGACTCGTGGATATCGACGGGGGGAAGGCGTTCCGCCTATAGTGGCGTGAAGGACATGCACCATTCTTGGGTAGGACCAAGCACCACCTCCATGGGCAAGAGCGGGCCGATGAGCTACAGCGGCCCTATGAGCGGGCCTATGATGAGTTTCAGCGGACCGATGTACTACAACCCTCCGACCACGAAGCCGAACGGCAGCCGAAGAGCCGTAGGGGGAGTGGGGGAGGAAGAGAAGAATGCAGGGGGAGTTGGAGATAGCCTTGCGAAGGTGGCGGCCAGGCGAGCTGCCGCGTCGGGTGTCCCGCCCCTGGTTCCGACCAGTGGTGACTTGACGAACAGGCGGAGGTCCGCCGCAAGGGAGATGCGGAGGGGCCCCTCAGGCGGCGCAGCCGCCGCGACCCCTCCGCGCCCTCATGGGCGGAGACAACGCTCTTCGTTGTCCCGATCTACCTCCGCGGCCGCGGAGGCCATGGCCGCCTCTCCCAACGACGCCCTGGCCCTCGTACCCGTGCGCAGCAGCCCTACCACTTCCTTGATATCCTTGGACTCGGAGGCCTCTGGACCCATCTATGCCGGAGTGGGGTACCGGAGGGGGGAGAGGGGTGGACGTGTGCCTGGTCGGGCTGCTCCCGGCTACTCCCCTTCGTCAAGAAGGGCCGGCAAGTCCCGCATGCGCGTTGTCAGCGGCATGAGCCCCTCGCAGTCCCCCGTTGTGCACATGCCGTTGAGTCCTGTCAGTGGACCAATCAGTTCGACTCCAACACGAGGAAGGCGGCGTCGAGCTCGCGGAGGGAGGGGGGCGACGGACCTGTCTGGAGCATTGGCGCCCAAGAAGGGCCACCAGGACGAAGAGTATAATGAATATGACGATGGCAGCAAGCCGTGGCCTCGGCGCCGTGCCCGGTCACCCGACTCTGTTTTTTCGAGAGATTTCGGAACCGAGACAGGTTCTAGGGACGTGTCCAATGCTCCTTTCGCCCGTCCAGGGGCGTCCACGGCTGTGGCCAGCTCAGAGAAAAGTACCAGGGAAGAAGCGATCGACGCCCGTGGAGGAAGCAGAAAGGCAGGAGGAGCATTGGAGCAGGAAGAAACCAGGCCCAGACGAGCGGGTGGTATTCTTGAGCCTGTGCTGCGCATGCTTCGTGCGATTGGAGGAGGGAAGAAAAGGAGGCGGTCCGAGGAAACCACGGAGGGAGGGAAGCGGGTCATAGATGATGATTTTGGGGGAGAGGGGGTCAAGAGGTCGAGGTGCAGAGGAAGGGTGGGTAGATGGACCTTTCGCGGGGGCCACGATAAGAATCCGCTGGCCCTTGGCAAAGTCAGAGAGAGAGGAATTGCAGAAATTCGGGCGAAGGGAGGCAATGTGCCTCCTCCTCCTGTAAGGAAATGGCGATCGAGCAACAGGTTGGATGGCAAGAGCGCCAACAAAAAAGCTCTTGTAGTGTCGGAAGGTAGACAGCTCTCTACCACCTGGATTCAACGGCCTCCACTCTTGCTCCAGGTGTGCACAGCGTGGGAGGAGCAGCACCTTGACCTGCGCTCTCGGAGCACCAAGTATAAGCTGTTTGTAGACGAGCTTGAAGGGTTGTCCGACGAGGTCAGTCTCCTCCTGCCTTCAAGTTCCTCCCTAGTCTCCCTCCGCTTCCCCTTCCATCACTTAACAGCAACACAGAGCTTTTTTTTTTTTTTGTCCAAACCTTGCAATCCACCTTTCTCCCAGGTTTGCGCCCTGTCTGCCTCCCGCCTTCTCCTTCTCCTCGTCACGGTGATGTATTCTCCCTGTTTTCCACCCACTCTGCCTAGTACCGCTTTCTCCTTGTCAGCGCTATGTATGCAAGCCTATTTGTATGGATGCGAAAAGGTGGGATGAGCGATGCCGATCAACGACGGGTTATCGAGACCAGATAATCCCTTGCCGGCTGACCTCCCTCCCTCTCTCCCTCCCTCCCTTCCGTCCTCCCTCCCTCCCTCCCTCCCTCCCTTCCGTCCTCCCTCCCTCCCTCCTTCCTTTTTTTCTTCCTTCTTCCCTTCCTTCCTTTTTTTCTTCCTTTTTTTCTTCCTTCTTCCCTTCCTTCCTTTTTTTCTTCCTTTTTTCCTTCCTTCCTTCCTTCCTTCCTTCCCTTTTTTCTTCCTTCCTTCCTTCCTTCCTTCCTTCCTTCCTTGCTTGCTTGCTTGCTTCTGGTGCCTTAGCAACCATACTCCCACGGGAACCCGTAAACTTTGATTTCTCACAAGATGCTGGCAGAGTCATCCAATAGACATCCGCCAATCCCTAGTC